TCAGTATACAGACCCAGGGATCGGTCACTAGCTCCAAAACTGACAGTCTAACGGTCGGGTCAGTTGATGCTTCCGCGAGAGGTGCATGGGGAGGGGGGGAGGGCGGAGCACAGGGCGGTGGACGTTACAAATTGGCCACCAAAGTTGACTAATATACGAAGTTTGGGGATGTTTATACACACTATTACTTTTCAAACTGCCCAAAAAAAAAACATTTGCTCAACTAATCGCGAACTCTTATACGATGAGTTCGCTAATGGTTAGAAATTTCTTGTCCTGTTCAGTTTTACATAATTTTGTCTCATCTATTACATACAAACAGACGGACAGACGGATGGAAAGGCAGACATACCGGCGGGTGGACGAGGGGTGGGGGGGGGGGGGGGCAGACAGAGGGCAAGTAGACGTGCTTTGGGCGGATTGTGGGGTGGGGGGTACTGCCCCGAAGAGATGCCTGAAAGAAACAGAAGGCACGCAGGCAGACAGATAGACGGGCATGATAGAAAAACTAAGTATTTATACTCAGTGTGAGAAAAAATGAGTTTATGACGATCATAAAACCTTTTCTATACTCTTATAAGAGAAATAAAAAAAAATGAAGATAATGGCATCAAATACAGAGTAAGTCTGAATATTTTGTATAAACATAATATAAGATAATTTGAACAGCAGTTTCGATTTTTGTTACATATGTATTTGAACACCGGATAGAAAAATTATAAAACAAACTTGTGCACATCATTGGGTTTTTTTAGCCCAATTTCCATACGGACAATTGCGATTATTAACTCGTCATTTCTGGATGGATGAATGAATGAATGAATGGATGTGTGTCCGCAGCTTTAAGTCGTATCTCCTCCTCAACGAAGCAATATCGAGGACTAGTTCCAAAAGCTAATATGTTAAGCAAGTTCCGAGGATGATTGTGGGCCAAAAAAATTCCCGGAATTCTTTCCTGGATTTCACGGAAAAGCAAAAAAACCTCGGGAAAAAAATGCAGTTTTTGGCCCATATCTCGGCAACCAGACCACCTAGCGACTTGAAACATTTACCAATCAATTTCTGCCATAATTTAGAACAATATTGCCGAAGAAAGTTTTCAAAAATATCCTTTCGTCCGGTCACAAAAAATATTTACTACTTTTTTAAACTGAGCATCTTGTAGGCCTACTCGTTAAAATAAAACTATTTCCGTTGATATAGGTTAACATAGTTGTCTTTTTTTAGCGCAAAAAAATATCCTTTCTTTCGGTCACAAAAAAAATAATAATTGTTATGGATAACATAAGGAAATTGCGCTTAAATTGTCACTTGACTTTTTATTAACTTGTTTTTTTGTGTTTAGATTTTTTTTTCCGTAGGCCTTTCCTCGATTGGCCTTGTCCGTTCACATTTTGTATAAGTGTATTGTTGATAATTGCGTCAACGTCAGACATTTTACCATGTTGACTTTTTTCTTGTATTGATGCGATGAGTTGGGAATAAAAAAAATCATATAGTATTAACTACGTTGTGTTTTCGTGTCACGCTAATTTAAAATTAGTCGCCTACATGTATTTGAAAAAAAAAACACGATGAAAACTTCGTTCTATTGAACTCTCCTTATGTATAATGAGAGTACTGTCTACGTTTTCCAAAAAACCAATGTTTCGTCCAGACTTTTTTTCTCCGGGGGGCACTTGAAATTTGTTTGGGGAGGGGGCGGACACTGTTGTAAGTATATATTTTATATATAAATGGAAGAAACACTGCAAAAAGGGAAGAAACACTGCAAAATACGATGTTTAACAGCATTGTGTAATCTATTCTCATCTATGGTTCTGTGACGCCGAGAATAACACAAACTATATATGGGGCGGAGTGGCCTAGCGGTAGAGAGCTGGACTGCTAACCCGTAAGTATCGAGATCCTCACGTTAGGGGAAGTATAGACGACTAGGCATAGTGCTGACCACACTCTCCCTTCATATGCCGAGGTCACAGAAACAGGTGAACTCTACGTCACTTGCCCCATAGACGGGTTTAAAAGGGAACTTGACTTTTACTTTACTGCCGCATATTGAACAGGTGGCCTGAAAAAAAATACTCATGTCGAAATGTAGAGAAAAACTGGGCAGAACCTTATATAGGCAAAGAAATACAAAAATGGCAAATGTGATGGATTAGACACACCCTGCGTAAACCAACCAGCAACATCACCAGACACAGGCACTAGACTGGAATCCCCAAGGAAATATGTGGGCTGGTACAAACATGGAAATGGTCAGCTCTTGGTGAAGCAGAAGCAGTCGGAATAAACGGATACAAGTACGATTAAAAACACTTAAATACAAACGCAACTCAAGTTTTAAGGACTCTTGGCTAATTCATCAAGAATTTTATCCGCTTGAATTACAATATCTTGATGATTGGTTAATATTTTTAATAATGTTTATCAACAAAAGGCTTTTAGTCGGGTAACATCATTTTCCCCGTGCGGTGTGTAAACTGCACATGAAAAAACGGCCCCGACAAAATGCTCCTGATAAACGAGTCAAAAGGGCCAGCACCGTCATATTGATTCCCGACATTTAGGCTCCCTTCAAAATGGCTTCTGCCTTTATGACTCCCGACAAATAGGCTCCCGTCATTTTGGCTCCCTACTAATTATCTCCAGTCAATTCCACTCATGACAAAGCGGTCCCTGTTAATAAGGTTCCTGTAGACAATAAGTCTCTTCGTGGAATCACATCATTCAATATGATGTTTGCCAGTAGAACCCTTAATCAATGCTCTTCAAATGTGTAGTTGTTTCAACTTTTGAGCGATTTCCGATAACCGGAAGTGGGACTTGTTTTACACAGTGTTTCTTCCAGACTTTATTCTCCGTGAGGGGGGGGGGGGGGGGTACTTGATATTGTCGGGGGGGGGGGGGGGGTCGGTCAACATTTTTTGGGGTGGCGGACACTAGTAAAAGTGTATGCTTACCATATAAATTCCATCTCGTTCGGGGGGGGGGGGGGGGGCTGGGGATGCCTGGAAGAAACTCTGATTTTACATTTAGTTTTTCAAAAGCATATAACTTGAGTACTGTTTCAGATAGATAAACGAAATTTCACATGTAAGTATAAGATCTAATTATCTGCCTTCGTTCAAATTTTGAGTGATTTCCGTTGAATGGAAGTAGTAATTTACACTATTTCCCATTTCTCCAAAAACGAAAATGAATTTATTAAGTACTAATAATATTCCGCACTCTTATACGCAGATTGTTTAACACTCACTTAGTGCGCAATTCTTTTTTTTCTAAGAGATTATATTCTATTTTAAAAAGTTTAAGTAATTAAAAATTGATTAAAAATCATGTCTAGATCTAGACTCTATATCCCGCGTTTCCACCCCCAACCTCTCCCCCCCCCCCCCCCCCCCATAGACGCCGTAGTGTTTGGCCTATAATTCTAAAAGTAAAAGAATTCTCGAGAAAGTTTAGGGGAGATCACTCCCGGTTTGTTTATTTTGAAAATATTTTGTTATTGCTTAGTAGATTTCTAGTAAGTTAGTAGATCTACTAGTAGTCTAGTTCTAGATTTCTGTTTCTAGATCTGGCCTAAACCTCTGATTTCTGATCTAGATCTATCTAGAAACCAGTAACTAGATCTAGATTCTAGATCTAGATCTAGATCTAGATATAAATTTAATTTAGTTTAAGACTAAGACTCACTAAGACGACTAAGAGACCTAGCCTAAGTCCTAAGTTAAGTTAAGTAAGACTGTAAGTCACTGTAAGACGATAAAAATTAATCAAGACTAGATTTCTAGAAGAATAATCTAGATCTAGACTCTAGATCTAGAAATCTAGATTAGATCTAGATTCTAGGTCTAGAGGAGAGTCTAGATCTAGAAATCTAGATTAGATCTAGACTCTAGGTCTAGACTCTAGAGGAGAGTCTAGACTCTAGATCTAGACTCTAGAATCTAGATCTAGATCTAGTTAGTAGCTAGAGTCAGAGACTGGTCTACAGTAACAGTACAGTCTACACTCAGTAGTCTAGTCCAGGGGCGTAGCGAGGGGGGGGGGGGGGGGCGGGGGGTGCGGACTGCAAATCGAAAACTTGAAAGTTTGTCCCTGGGAAGGGTCTCTATGCCTCATTAAGTGCCGCACCGGGTGACACCCGACCTCGCTACGCCACTGGTCTAGTCTACAGTCTTAAAAACATGAATTGGCTAGTGTTACACTGCTAGTGGCTAGTAGCAACAACTGTAATAAATAAATTATAGGCCTAATTAATTAAATTAATAGGCCTAGTTTATTTAGTTAATAGTTTTATCCGTTTATACTATACTATACTTAGATCTATAATTCTAGATCTATTTAATATATTATTTATAGTTATACCGTCTTATACGCTACTAAATAGATCTAAAATTCTAAAATACAATTATATTACTATATTACTATTATTACACTAGGCCTAATATAATTTACCAAGTAATAGATGGCCTAGGCAATAGGCCTTGGATAATTATAATATATCATTATATTAGGCCTAATAAATAATTATAGGCCGCCTATACAATTTATTTTCATTAGTCATCATCAGTTCTAAAATCATAGTAGTAGATGATAGTAGACCTATTATTAATTATTTATAATATTATATTTAGAGAACGTCTATTTGTAGTTAACTACAAAGTACAAACAGCTTTCAGAAGGCTATAGATCTAGATCTATATAGTTCGCTATTTTAGGCATTAGCCTTAGGGTTCAGGGTTATTTAAGAATCACAGAAAAATGCCTTGTAAGAGTATGAATAGCTTTCTAATGAAGACTATTAGTAGTGAACTACTAATATCCGCAGACGATTGAAACAGAAACTGATCAATAAACTCAAGAAATCAATGTTTAAAAAAAAAATAAAAACTGCAATTTTTTAGAGTGTTGTAGCCTAAAATATGACTTCATTTTAGGGGTGGGGGAAATGTGTCTGGCTTTTTTTTTCGATGAGGTGTGTGATGTACTTACTCTTGATTTTAATGGCAGACATGTTTATGATTGTAATTTTTTCTTAATTCACAGAAAACCTTTTGTAATTTCTTTACTTCAGTGAGAGACATCCGTGTAATGTGTAATGGTGTACTTTTGGCCACAACCAGTGCAGACTGTGTGATCACACATTGTAGGTAACTATTGTAAATTAGAAATTTTTTGTTACTTACCGTAGGCCTAATATAAATTTATTTTAACTTATCAAAAATCTATTTTAAGTTTATCATTCCCCAATACTTAGCCTAACTTAAACAGTTTAAAAGGTTATTCAATTACAAACATAATGATGTATATTGTATAACATGTTGGAATAAACACAATAAAAGCATGCTAAAAATAGTGTTGAAAATGCAGGGGTAGGGAAAAGCTGATTTGTCCGATTTTTCTCGGCATCGTTATTGGCATTGGCTTAGCTAATTTAGGCATATCAAATGCATTGATGTTAAATCAGTTTATACATAAAAGGATACCTGTCTGCAAAGTTCATCTCACCACCAGTAGAGCTAGTGGTTGATTGAACTATTTGACACTGCAGATTTCTGATTACAGATTACATATTCTTATAGCAGTGGTGCCTCACACCATTGTAAAAAAGTGCCACTGCATTATTATAGATGCCTCTTACTTCAGCTAAACCTAAGGTGTCAGTGTCATCTTATTTTATTGTGAATTTAAAAAAATTAAATATGGCTTCAGTTTAATTTAGAGGCCTAAGTACTAGTACTTAGTACTACTAATGCTAAGTAGTACTAAGTACTAGTTCTTACAATTTGCCTAACAATGTTTGAGCCAGAATGTTTTGAGATGTTTAAAATTCTAACAAACTGCATAAGTAAATTCATAGTTTTAGTTGCTAAAAGACAACAAACTTTCAGATTTTTAAATTTATTGTTTGCAATCAGGATTATGAAATGGGCAACAACCCAGCGAAGGATAGTTCAACATTGAATGCAGGTAAAACAAGTTCATGATGTTCATTTTTTTAATTGGTTGGTTAAATGAATTAATCACTACAGCCTCGCAGCTAATAAATTAAAAAATAACCTTAAACTCCGGTCTATTATTTTGATGACATTTCTAAGATTAATATGTTTGTTATAGAAAAAGTAATAAACTTTGCATTTTTGTTATTATTTAAATTATCAATTAAAAAAATGTAATTTATTCCTCTTTCAGAAGGTGCGGTGTCTGCCGGCATCCAGACCACTGTGATGTTACCTGATGGTAGTCAGAAACAGATGATTGTTTACACTCAAATGGACGCATTTCAAGTTAGTTTGTTTTGGTTCATTTAAAAGGCTGGTAGCATAGCCTAATACAGTATCACATTACTGTATTATGTTTTTTTTCTGCCAATATCACTATTTATGCCATTCGTATTGAAGATAAAATTAATTGCCCCTATTAAAGAGATGCAAATAATGGTAATATAACTGCCTGCAGTATTTAGCCTAATGGTCTCAGTTTGTAACTTGACTTTTTTTCAGTGGAACATAGCTTAGGCTGACTTTAGGCTGTTGCTAAACCTACTTTTTTTACCGTCATCATGGTAATAATGGCTGCCAAAAGCATTGATACCGGTTATCATATTTTAACAATGTTTTATGATCATTTCAACCACATACTTGTCATCATTATTTTTGCATATTAATCAATGAGGCTGATCTAGTTTTAACAATGGACAATTAGTGTTTGATGTCAATTTGCCCTTTGTAAATTTTCTTTGGCCTAAAAGCTGAGAATATCGAGCAGAACATGAGGTGTGAAAAACGACAATTACTGTATTTAATAATATTTTGACCAAACTCAAACCTTGCCATGACAAATAAAAAATTATATATAACAGCTTAATAAAATAATTTCATTAATTTAAAATATTCAACAGGGCAAAAAGAAAATTCATTAAAAATATAACCTGATATAGATAATTTCCAACTAAGTCCGCTCATTTAGCCTGCAGTGTATTTGAATCGAAAGAAATATAGCAGATGAAACATTTCTACTGAACAGTCAATTGCTTCTCAATAACACTAACTATAATAAAACTAAACCACTGATTCAGTCATAGCTACCTTGCTAATTTTTAAAAAAGCGATTTTTTTTTTTTCAAAAATTATTTAAGAGGCTACAGAAAAATGTAAGATCTGGTCCATCCACATATTCTCAGTTGCTTCACTCTAGTGTAAAATTTGACAAACTTTATAGTGTACGATAAAATTTTTTTATTAATTTGAATCTCATGTCTTACTAATTATAATGCTATAATCATAGTTTAATTACTGTGTTATCAAACAGCTGAAAACGTCTTGCCTTGGACCTGATTATCCCCATCTGGACTGCTACAAGGTGGTGGTCAACTTCCGCGGCAGAACGCCGGTGGAGGTGCTAGACCATCAGGAGTTTGACCAGGAACTCCTGCAGCAGGCTAAAGACATAAGCATTGTTCCAATTAGGTGAGCATGTCACGGGCTTATCATCATAATTAATCCACTCAGGTGTGGATGAGCATTATGTAGGCAGCCACACGTATTATTTTAAAACAGTAATTTACATTTATGTGAAATTTTTTACCATTTTTAATTTTCTTCTCATATTCTACTTTATTCACTTAAGTTTCCCCATTCAGCAAAAGGTTTATGATTTTCAGTATTAATATTGTTCAATATTGTTAAAACACTTCTATTAAAAATGTTGTTGTTTTGAAATCCACAGAAAAATAGCTAGAGCAAATTTGTTTTTCTTAAAAAAGTGAATTAGTACTATTTAATTTATGTTTAATAGCACTAAAATATAGAAAGCATTAATTATTTAAAAAAAAAAATTAAAGATATAATTCTGTTAAAGGTCAATGTCAATTACAGCTTCAGCTTCTTTTTAATTGAAACAAATCAGTTTTGGTAGAAGTGGTATAAATCTAATTCCTCGTAAACAAATCAGTTTTGGTAGAAGTGGTATAAATTTAAATTCCTCGTTTCCCCTATGACACACTAAGCAAGCAAGAGGAATGAAGTGAAAGTGAAGCTTATAAATACAAAACAAGGGATAAACCCATGGTCTATTTATATCTTACTCTGTCTTGTTTCAGTGCTAATGAGGGTGTACTGGCTGATAACATTGACCTAGACGGTGCCATACGGCACGTTCAGTAAATTGTTCTTACTTTTGGTAATCAAATTGAATATGCTTTACTGATTTATTATTGAGATTTACAACTGTTTTATTTTAATATGCAAAGTTTTCAATCATCTTGTTTTTTAATTATATATTGTATTTTTTAAATTTTATTTTGTAAATATACTGAAGATTTTTTTTTTATAGCCACTTGTTCCTGTTTTTTTTGTTGCTTTTTAATAGGGCCTACCCTATGTGTTAGAGATTAATTTGCTTGTGTTTATCCAAACTGTGTAAATAATTTTGATTCATGAAACTAGAACTACATGATCTATAAACCACTGTAACTCATGTTAAAACTGTGGTTTTATTTGTGATAATTAGTAATTTTATGGGATCGCAAACATCACAGATTGTGAGAAAAATTTCCATGAAATTATCTTTCATGCTGCGGCAAGATAAGCTGGGATAAAAAAAAACTAGAAATAATTAGATGAACTAGTGAATTTATAACACATTGGTACACGAAATATGCAATTGTTGTCTAAATCATGTAGTCGTTGATGACAAACTAATTAATCTAAGCTTTCCAGCAGTTACCTCCCTTCTAGTAATTCCTCCTGATTCTCCATGTTCTCAACCATTAAGTTTATAGCACTACTCCCTCCATACATGTATTCAGCCTTAAAACAGTATAAAACAGTCGGTCATTGTTAAATCTACTGCTATTCTTGAGAAACAAAACATGAGAAAATCATTGTTGTTGACAGCACAAATAAATCAGTCCGCTTTTAATCAACTGCTTTAATTAAGAAAGAAAAACCTTGACAAAAATGATTGTAGTAGCCATATAGAACTTTTCTCCTGAGAGAATCCAGTGTAGTTCCAAGACTCTACAATACATGTATGTTATCATGTCCCAAGACTTTATGATACAGGGATTGTGCACATACAAATTTGTGGGTGCTAGACCTGTTTCTTGTAGACACAGCTGATTGTTTCCTAAATGCCATTTTCCCTTTTGTGAAAACTGACATGTGTTGCATCATACATATAGATACAGTATGAATAACATTCAACAAAAAAATGCTTCTGCTTATATTAGTTGTATTAATAAGTTGAAGCACACAGCGCTTTACTTTAAACATAGTATGAGGCTTAAATTTAATTCCAGTACTGGCGTACAAATGTCCAAAAAAAATTTTTTTATTCCTATTATTATTTAAAAAAATAAGTTTTCATGTATTAACTTTTAAACTTGAAAAAGAATAATCAGAAAGATAAAAATTGTAATTTAAAATTATTTACTCTTCATAGTTGTAGACTTTAAAAGCTGGTGCTGTGATTAGTGTGTTAAAAATGAGAAGTGATTTCTAGGATGCTTGTTGCTGCAGTTATAGTATAGCATAATGTTAGATTAATTTATCTATTGAATTGTTTGAGGGATGAACATTTTATTAGTTTTAGCATGTCTTTGTTTCTTTGCTAAAAATGACACAACATTTGTAACCTAGAAGTGTCTGTGTAAGGTAACTCAAAAACCAACATTTATTTATTATCTGAGTAAAATAACATTTTTAAAAATTATAAAAAAATGTTACTAAATATATTTATTTTTAATATATTGTGGGTCTACTTATTGACATGAGAGGGGGGGGGGTGGTTTTATGATTATTTCTTTTTATTTTTACATGAAATAATTTTTTTTTATATACATAATATGTTTCTAAACATTGTATGGAGTATAGGTGGGTAAAGTGTCACATTTTTGTGATACATTATGTGTTTAGAATCACTAAGCACTTACAACATTACTTGTATTCAACAATATAAGTGCAATGTTTTGGTACCCTACATGTATATGATCAGCATTGTTGAAAGGCTCAGATTTTATTTTATATTTACCTGCTCAATAACCCTGTTTGAATGGATTTCACAGATGCCTTTTTTAAGTCATAATTCATTTCTTATTTACATTTTACTTAATTGCTACATAAATTTTATGTTGTGCTTCTGATTCTTGTTTTCAACAATTTGTATTTTAGTTGGATGTTAACAAGAAACAAGGTTACATAGTTCCTTGTTTTAGTGAAACATGATAATAGATGTGTTTGTCTTGTTTATTATTATGTTTATTTTTTTTCAATTTGATAATAGACATAATCTTTTTACACTTACCATAAAACAAAAAATTTTATAGTATTTTTTTAAATACAATGATACCGGTGTCAGTTTTTGTCAAGATATAATAAATTTCTCTTGCTCATGGTATGGTGTGTTTATTTTTTTCTCCCTAAAAATATTCAAGTTAAAATGTTTAACAAAAAAATACAACAAAACATTGCCATTCTCCAGCCCAGGTTGTACATGATATTTGACATGATATTTGACATGATATTTTACATGATATTTTACATGATATTTGACGTGATATTTTACATGATATTTGACGTGATCCAAGGGTTTTCAAATTATCATGAAAACAGTGAAAGACACTTGTCCAAAGTTCAATCGCTTTATCGGACATATTTCTAAAATAAAACATCATGTAATTAATTAAGTAGAATCTTAAAATTTAAAAAAAGTATTAAGTATTTAATAATTGATATTAGTCTATAAATACAAAAATTTGATATAATTTTAAAATACAGCTCATATTGTTTTATATGTTTCTTGAACAAGTCTGTATTAGACTTATTTTTCCCGCATATTTTTCCACTTATACCCAAGATCCACGGGGCAGATGAAGTAGAATTCATCTGTTTCACTTACCTTGGCATACAAAGAAAGAATTTCTCTATGCCCAGCCCTATTTGTTTGCCTTAACTACGCGATAGATCCAGCTAGAAGAACATTTGGATGTCATAAAACACTCGTATTGCAGCTAAAGGGAGACAATTCAGTAAATTAAAAAACAAAAATAATGTCATTGTTACTTCCCTTTGTCCACTGAGTTTCTTATCTGTTAACCGAACAATACTTTTCCCCAACCTTAGCACACAGAGATTATCTTGTAATGTACTCTAATGTCTAGGTACCTGCAATGACCGAAGGTATGCTACTACTGGGGAGACTAAAATTGAAGTCAGAAATTGAACGAATTTCTTAACCCCCGACCAGAGGCGTAGCTAAGGGGTGACGGGGGGTGCGGACCGCACCGGGTGACACCATTTAGGGGGGTGACACCAAAGCAAAAAATAGCAAAATATATAGAGAATCGCTTGAGGGGAGGGGGATGCAAATCGAAAGTTCGAGGGGGGTGGGGTGCAAATCGAAAATTTGAAAGTTTGCCCCCGGGAAGGGTCACTACGCCTCTGGGGGGGGGGGGTGACACCATTAAGTGCCGCACCGGGTGACACCTGACCTCGCTACGCCACTGCCCCCGACCCCTTTTCGTAACATCGTCCCACAAATGTCACCCGCCTCCCCCTCACACCCCTAACCAAACAAAGCATCACTCAAGCATACATTAAAAAAAAACTGGTAGGTAGGCCAAGATCTCGATCATATTATCATTGCGGCAGGGTCAGAATTAGTTAGAGTTGTAACTTTTTTATAACAATTATATATATATATATATATATATATATATATATATATATATATATATATATATATATATACATATATATATATATATATATATATATATATACACACACATATATATATATATATATATATATATATATATATATATATATATACATATATATATATATATATATATATACACACATATATATATATATATATATATATATATATATATATATATATATATATATATATATATATATATATATATATATATATATTAAATACGAATAAACAGCAAAAGTTTAGTCGGAAGTGCTTTAAAATACCAAGTGTGAAGTTAGAATTTCTGAAACCCGCTCAATACAAATCTTTACAAAGGTCGGCACTCTTTCAACTATACGATGTCCCGTTTCTTATTTATCTCATACATAACATCTCTTTTTGGTTCCTTGTTACTTTCTCGTGTACGAAGTATAGAGAGTGTATTGTAATTGTGCAAAAAAAAATCGATATTTTTACAAATCTCGACCTTTTTCACCTCCCCGAGTATGAAACACATAGTTTTGCAATTTTGTTCATGTGTGTGTGTGTGTGTGTGTGTGTGTTGATGAAATTTCATAGATAAATATTATATAAAATGTGTAGTTCAGTACCAACTTTTCAGCAATTTCCGGTAATCGGAAGTGGAACTTATTCTACTTTCAATTTTTCAAAAGCCTATAACATGAGTACTGTTTCAGATAGAAAAATTAAATTTCACATGTAAGTAAACAATCTAATTCTCCGCCTTCTGTCAAGATGTAACAAACAGAAGTGTGTACTACGAATGTCCCCTACCACTGTACACCTTAAGGGGTCTTTGCATCCTATTTATTCCTGCTTTTTGTATTTGCTTCTATGGCAATAGTCCTTCCAAAAACAAACCACAGGATAAACGGTCTCAGTACAAACGGTCTCATAACTAATGAAATAAGGACAAACTGTCTCAGGATAAATGATCTCAGGACAAATGATCTCAGACAAATTTTCCCACACAAAATATATCAGGACTAATGATCTCAAGGAGAAATGAAATTGTCAAATGATTTTAAAAAATATCTCACGGCCAAATATTCATAGTATTTAGAATGATTTTAGTTTATATGAATATTTGTTATTGATTGTCACATGGTTTTCATTTAACTTTCAATTTTTTCTCTTCTCAGCTTTAAGAACGATTATTACATATGGCTTATTTTTTCTGGTTTGTTTGTCTTGCTTAATTAAAAAAAAAATAGTTTACCGTGCAATTTGTGTTTGATTAATGAGAGGTGTAATTTTAGCATGACGTCAATTTTTAGTAAGGATAAAATATCTTCTGAATTATGTAAATCTTTTGACTGTATTGCTAATGTACCTGCGGGGTAGCCAACATTTGATAGTATTACTTGTAGACTTGTTCAAAAGATACTCGTACTGAATTCATTGGTCTCTGAAGCACTATTAAAATAATATTCTGTAATTTTATTCGAAATAAGTAGGTTCCTTCTCTCTCCATAAATAGGTAGTTAAGTTCTAAATGAAAAATTGTTCTCAATAAAATAAGAAGTAATGGTAATCAATTTTAAGTATTATAAAAATAGTTAAATATCACTAAAACAATTTTCTATGCACCATTCTTTATTGAATGAAAACATTTGCATCAAATTGTCCTTTAACATACAATATATATATATATATATATATATATATATATATATATATATATATATATATATATATATATATATATATATATATATATATATATATATATATATATATATATATATATATATATATATATATATATATATATATAAATTTTACAGTCATTTTAAAACCATTAAATTAAACAACGGTACCAAAATCTTATTTTATCAGCCATTAAATTAAAACAACGGTACCAAATTGAAATTTATCAGCCATTAAATTGATACAACGGTACCAAATTCAAATTTAGCAGCCATTAAATTGATACAACAGTACCAAATTCAAATTTAGCAGCCATTAAATTAATACAACGGTACCAAATTCAAAATTAGCAGCCAATGAATTAAAGGCCCAGCACCAACACATTTTTTTTCTATTCTATTTATAAGAATACAACAATATCATGTACAACTTGCAACCGGGATAGAAGATGTAGTTAGAAACACCACTTCTTCATATGTGCTGCTGTCTAAGTTGGGGTCTTTAGGAAGGGACGCTAATCTAACAAATAGGAGCCCTTAGGAAAGGGCGCTAATCTCAGAAGTGGGAGCCCTTAGGAAGGGGCGCTAATCTAACAAATAGGAGCCCTTAGGAAAGGGCGCTAATCTCAGAAGTGGGAGCCCTTAGAAAGGGGCGCTAATCTCAGAAGTGGAAGCCCTTAGGAAGGGGCGCTAATCTCAGAAGTGGAAGCCCTTAGGAAGGGGCGCTAATCTCAGAAGTGGGAGCCCTTAGAAAGGGGCGCTAATCTCAGAAGTGGAAGCCCTTAGGAAGGGGCGCTAATCTCAGAAGTGGAAGCCCTTAGGAAGGGGCGCTAATCTAACAAATAGGAGCCCTTAGGAAAGGGCGCTAATCTCAGAAGTGGGAGCCCTTAGGAAGGGGCGCTAATCTAACAAATAGGAGCCCTTAGGAAAGGGCGCTAATCTCAGAAGTGGAAGCCCTTAGGAAGGGGCGCTAATCTCAGAAGTGGGAGCCCTTAGGAAGGGGCGCTAATCTCAGAAGTGGGAGCCCTTAGGAAGGGGCGCTAATCTAACAAATAGGAGCCCTTAGGAAAGGGCGCTAATCTCAGAAGTGGAAGCCCTTAGGAAGGGGCGCTAATCTCAGAAGTGGGAGCCCTTAGGAAGGGGCGCTAATCTAACAAATAGGAGCCCTTAGGAAAGGGCGCTAATCTCAGAAGTGGGAGCCCTTAGGAAGGGGCGCTAATCTAACAAATAGGAGCCCTTAGGAAAGGGCGCTAATTTCAGAAGTGGAAGCCCTTAGGAAGGGGCGCTAATCTCAGAAGTGGAAGCCCTTAGGAAGGGGCGCTAATCTAACAAATAGGAGCCCTTAGGAAAGGGCGCTAATCTCAGAAGTGGGAGCCCTTAGGAAGGGGCGCTAATCTAACAAATAGGAGCCCTTAGGAAAGGGCGCTAATCTCAGAAGTGGGAGCCCTTAGGGAGAGGAAATGGGGGGGGGGGATTAATTTTCCGCATTTTGTTTATTCTGGTTTACCGTGATATAAATACAACTAACGATGATGACAATGGCAATAAAGACGGGGACCAGCCAGACGTAGCCTTTACTGCTGTCAATGTTACCGCCATGACCACTCTCCACGATTCCTGAGTATTTATTGTTCTCTTGATTGATTGTGTTGCTTGCTGTTTCTTCTGTTGAAAAAATACATCTGCATTTTAATCCATTAGGTAGGTTCAAAAGAAAGTTTTACAGTTTCTTCCAGGTATCTCTTCGGGCGCCACCCCCCCCCCCCCCACAGAAAGTCTACCCCCCCCCCCCCCGAACGAAATAGAATTTATTTTGTAAAATATATACTTTTGACAGTGACCGCCCCCCCCCCCCTCCGATAATTTTAGTCCGCCCCCCCCCCCCCCCCCCCCCGAAAATTTCAGCCCCCCCCCCCCTGCAGAAAATAGTCAGGAAGAAACACTGAAGTCTTAATGCATGT